TATCTTCCGCAGGCCTGGGGCTTATGACACGGGGTCATTTCAAGAACAGAAGTATCACCTCTCACATATAATAGCGATTGGGGATGTGGGGGTTGGTGCTGTATGTGGGAAAGTGATTACTTTGCCACTTGATAGACAGCAAAACTGAGGCCTGCAAAGCTCATGATTTATTTAAGGCAACAGTACAGTTCAGGGACAGCTCTAGGATGAAAATCAATCATTTCTGACCCCTCAAAAGAGTGCCAGGCCCATGAACCATCCTGCCACGAACATAAATAAAATCGCAAGTTAGATGGAAAAGTCCTATCCTTTCTGACCACAGGCTATATAACCTTTTAAAACCTAGTCTTCTCCTTAGTCATGGTAGTAATTTTTAAAAGTGTTTTAACTCATAAAATATGAAAACACATAATAGGATTTTCTTAAATACATACTGTTGCAGGTGTTTGTTGGGCAGTGAGCCCTGTAACTTAAACGCACAATCTCTGAGGGAGGGAAAGGTGGAGGGTCAGAAATACAGATGCATTTCCATTCCAAGTAGAAGTGCGCTGTCATACTCCTTCTGCATCTTTTGCCTTTTTTGTTTAACGGTGTTTTACAGATCATTCCACGGTAACGTGAAAAGATTCACCTTATTTTTTTTTACTGGTTACCCGTATCCCATTGCACGTAGGATTTGTCCTGTGTGAATAGTGGATTTATCATCATTTATTTAACTAGCCCCCCACTATTTCCTGAAGGCAAATCGTGCTGTAGTAGTCATCCTTGACCAGATTTTTTGTGCCCTTGTGAAATTGTTAGGTTAAAAGATATGTCATTTAATTTTTCCTCCAGTGTAACTGATTTGTTATTATTCATTTCTTTACCTTTTTGTCTGTTTTATTCCATCTATGAGATCTATAAAGTCAACTTACTGTTCTGATTTCCTAAAGATACTGATATTAGTATATGACAAATACGTTTTTCCCATACAAAATAGTACTTGTTAAAGAAAAATACATGATGCACATTTTTTATTATCTTCATTTGAGTCTTGTGTGCTGTTTCTAGTTAAGAAACAGTAAGAGTGGTTCTCGGGTTCCCTTAGGCTCCACAGATATCCGTGTGTGTGTGCATATAAAACAGTGGAGTGGTGGAATTTTTATTTTGTCAGCATACATGTTCATCATTGTTATACAGAATCTCAAAATCCAAACATGAGCTCTTCCTCTACAAAAACATCTAAATTTATCCTCTGAGATATTTTTCCTGTCATGTTATCTTGCAGATTTTCTTTCCATATTTGATAAGAACTTTATTGAGGTATAATTCACATACCATCAAATTCACTCATTTAAAATGTGAATTGAAAATAATTCATTGGTTTTTAGTATATTCACAGAGTTATGCAACTGTAACTATAATCTGTTTTAGAACATTTTCATCACCCCAAAAGGAAATCCTTTAGCTGTCACCCTTCTCAAGCTCCCATCCCTAGCTTTTAAATTTTGAAAGATACTTGTGCCCTCCAAAGCAGCTTCTCAGTTATACCCCACCATCAGTCCCTCGAAGGCCAGTTTCCTCATACCCTCCCTGTATTATCAGAATATTTCATTTTGATCAGCCTCATAGGTGAAAAACATCTCCTGCTTCGATCTGCATGTATTGAATCATGAATGGTACCGACCATCTGTTCTCGTGTTTCTTGGCTGTTTATGCTTCATCTCTGCACTGCTTTGTGGACCTATTTTAAATACAAACAAACATGTTGTTGTCGCTGCTCCATTTTGATCCCATCCACTGGGGCAGGATGCATGGGGCAAAGACTGCTAGGAAGCTAGTTCTACGGAAACAAGAGCGCCCTCCAAAGAGGCCCCCCCCATGCACCCAGAAACCCGCCCCGGGGCTCGTTGCCCGGGACATACCCGTCATTACCCTGTGCCCGCCCCCTGCCATTCTTGTATTTTGGATGACACTCCACCCTCCCCCAATGTAGGTAAAATAATTGCTCCTTGGTGGGGTGGGGGAGGGATGGACTGGGAGTTTGGGGTTAGTAGATGCGAACCATTACATATAGGATGGGCAGAGCACAGGGAACTATATCCAGTCTCCTCTGATAAACCATGATGGAAACGAATAGGAAAAAGAGTGTCTGTGTGTGTAACTAAGTGCTTCTCCGTTGGCCTCAATCTGGCTTTGTCTCAATCCATGAAACACTGTTTTTTTAATGGACGTTCCATGGTCTTTGTTCTGTTAAAACCCAGTCACCCTAGGATAAACCTGTCTTTACACCTCTTCCCTAGTCTGTGGATCCTGATAGCTTTTTCACTAGCTAGGGTCCCTGGTGAAATTCTAATAACTTCCCCAAGTTGGAGGGTCTTTGGGGAAAGCTGGAGCTCTGTTTCAGCTGGGGCTCAGACTCCTGGGAACAGGTGATTCCTCACCACCACCTCCAGGCCTGAGCCACTGTGACCTTTAGCTCCTGGTAGGTTCTTTCTGTGGGGACTGTAGCCTCCCGTGACCTCACTACCAGCGACCAGAAAGCCTCAGCCCGAGTCTGCTGTTCCTGCTGTATTTGTTAGCGATTGAGCAAAACGCCCTTTCACTACTTGTGGTGGGAAGCCCGGTGCACGCCCAGCCATTCGTCCTGAGGTACCTATACCTGACCGGAAAGATTTACTCACAGCAGGTGTGACAATAAGATATATGTTGAAGGGAATCCCTAGCATATTTGACACCCAGCATTTGTAACACTCCCTCCTCTATACCACAGAATCATTTTCAGGATAACGTTGTGATCATCAGTCATAAGCATAATTTTCCTGACTCACTCTATAAACAATTAGAAAAAAGAAGTTTCAATTTAAAGATGATTCAAATTGATTGATATTCAAATGAGAAGCACATAGTGCCAAGTCTGTGATATTCCTGCCAGACCTACCTGACCTGAATGTAATAATGAGGAAACCTCAGAGCGGCCAAATGGAATGACTGGCCTGTCACCTTCAAAAGTGTACAGGTCCTGAAAATCCAGGGAAGACTCAGGAAGTATCCCAGACAAAAGGAGACTGAGGATAGTTAAATGCAGCTTGTGATTCAGAACCAGATCCTTTTTCTAGAAAGGACATTATTAGGGCAACTGGTGAAATTTTAATGGGTCTGAGCATTGGGTGGCACTGTTGGGTCAGTGTTGATTCCTGATTTTGATGAGTGCTTTGTGGTTACGTAGGAGAATGTCCTTGTTTGTAGGGAATATATACTAAGGAATTCGGGGTTGATGAGACAGCAGTCAGCCTCTGATTCTCAAATGGTTCAGGGGGTAAACGTCATTTGGACAATAACGTCCTTGTACCATACTTCCGACTTTTCTCTGTTTGTGATTTTTTTTTTAAATACAAAAATTGCTTTTAAAAACCTTGACGGTAATTGTAGTGATTGCTTAGAATGTAGACCAACCAAAAACTTTTGAGGAGTATTTTTTCACCAACATGCTTTAGAGTTGCTGGCACAGGTGACAGCAAAAAGCAGAGGGCTTTTCAAGTCAGTGTGGTTATTGCTTTAAAATTTCCTGCAGACGGTGCATCCTCTACAGGGGTGCCCACCACCCACCCTTAGTACACCCTGATTACACTGGCAGATCCTAACAACTCTTCACGGTTGTGTGTCAGAATCCTCCAAAACATGACGGGACTCAGGACACAGGGCCAGCTGAAGCCCTGGACCAAGAAGGCGTTTGGGGACAGTGTTAGGCTGCTGGGCTGGCCAGACTCTTACACGCTGTGCACACAGGGCAAGATCCAGCCCGTTCACCGCTCATTTCACCAGGGAAAAAGTGTTTTTAAACATCCCCTGTGCTAATTAACAAACTCTTTGAGAGCCAAGTGTGGCAAAGAAACCCTTGAATTAGCTGCACCTTTAGGGCGGGACTTCTGATTAGGGTGTTTCAAACGCTGTGTAACTACCTTGGATGAATGGTCCTGATCATAACAACCACCCCTAGCGTGCAGATTATCCTGAACCAGTACAGATACTGCTCACTCAACTTCAGAGTAAACGACAAGCCTCCCCAGACTGCAGCACAGAGCAGGGAGCGTAGGGGCCCCAGTCTTTGTGGAGTAAGTGAGGTGTCCATCCACTTTGACGTCTGCGTGCGTGTGCATCATCACCTCCACGGGACCTAAATAGAGTAGATAGATTGTCAAGGAAGGCTTTCTCCTTCTTGGAAGCTGTTTGCAGTTGAGGAAGAGACTTTGAAATGAGAGCAGTCCGCTCTGGCCCAGGGGAGGCACGACCTCTAAGTGCTGTCGCAGCCCCTCCCCGCGAAGCAAACCAGAACTGCGGCAGGGCGACCCACCCGTGCAAAGGGGTGTTGAGTGGTTACCCGTCCTTCCTCCAGTGGGGAAGGATGCTGCTGGTGAGGTCTCGGTCACCTGAAAGGACCCACACGCACACTTCCTCTGCGATTGTCCCATTCGGCATGTCAGCCTGGAGAGAATCCCGTGCATCCCGTCTTGTCTCCAACCTCCAGGCATGCCCAGGTCTCAAGCCTTGATGGGTGTAAGAATCACCGTGGCCCTTGTGAAGAGTTGACGTGCTGGGCTCCTGTCCAGGGTTTCTGATCCACCAGGGTGCGCCTAGGAGCGTGCGTTTGTAACAAGCACCCAGTATCTGTGATGCCCATGGTCTGTGGACCCTCAGAGAGCCCTGATCTAGCGGCAGAAACATGGCGGCTTGTGGTCAGAAAGCCCAGATTTGCCTTCGCAGCTCATGCTTCACACGCTGAGTGGGACCTTGGGCTGGTCGCCGGAGGTCCCCAGGGCCCAGGCTCACCCCAGCATCCAGGGTCTGTGTTGGGGATCAGATGTGGTAGGGAGGAAAGCACTTGACAAACGGTGAAGCCCTGCAGAGGACGGGGACCTGGCCTTGGTCCTTACGTCCACCTTGATGTGGTACTCGTGGGGGCTGCAGCGCTTTCGGTGCGTCCTGGCCAGTTTTTTAAGTGTCGCTCTCCCTGTCCCCAGCCTTCCATGCAGCAAAGTGCGAGAAGCTGCAGAAAGAGAAGGCGGAGCTGGAGCGGCGCTGTGAGGACGAGGTGCGCAGGCTGGGCTGGCGACAGCAGGCCGAGCTGCGCGACCTGGAGCGGCGGCTGCAGCTGCAGTTCGAGACCGAGGTGGCCCAGCTCCAGGAGGAGCACCACGCACAGCTGCTGCGGATCGGGTGTCAGCACCAGCGGCAGGTCAGTCTGCGCCCCGGCCCGGGCCCTGTTCCTGCCATCGTCTGGAGGCGTGGGTGGGAGGTGGAGGGGAGCCGCTTTGGCCAGGAGTCCGTGCAGCAAGCAGGTGAGCTTCCGGTCAAGCCCGTTCTCCCCACCTCGTTTCTCTCCTCTGTCCCCTCCCGTCGTCCCCCGCAGCCACTCTGGTCTCCCTGCCTTGTGCTCCCAGGCACACTCCCACCTCCGGGCTTTTGCTCGCTGTGCCCTCTGCCTGGAATCCTCTCCCTCTAGAAACCCCATGGCTCCCTCTCTCCCTCCCTTGCAGACTTTTCTCAGTGAGGCCTTTCCTGATCCAAAATCACAGCTCCTTCCCCACGTTGTGCACGCTCTTGCTGTTTAATTTTTCCTCGGCACTTACTACTACCTAATGTATGATAGCTTTTACTTTGTACCCTGTTGATCTTCTGCGTATTCCATAAGGACAGTGATGATGACAGACACACATGTATCTAGCACGTGCTGTGTACCGGGCCCTGCTCTTCCCTCTTTACATGTACTAACTCATTTAACCCCCACGATAACTCTTAGAGGGAGTACCATTATTGTCCCCATTTTACAGGTGAGAAAACTGAGACCCGGAGGTTAAATAACTTGCCAGCATTCACGCTCATGAAAGAGCCAGGGTTGGACCCAGTCTGACCCCAGGGTCCGTGCTCTCGAGCACTGAACTAGAGTTTTCTGCCGGGTTTACTGCTAAATCTCTGGCACAGGACTGCCTGCCTGCACAGAGCGAGCCTTCAGTGTGTATTTGCTGAATGAAAGAAGGATTCCGCTCATTAACCTTAGCCCAGCAGTCTTCCTAGAGAGGGTCATTCATCCTGGAATAGCTGGGGAAGAATTCCCAGGGAGCCTGTCAGCCTGAAAGCAGGTAGGAGCCTGGTGTGCCCATCCCCAGGGCCAGCTGCCGTGTCCGTTACCTTGTTGGCGCCGGTGTGACAGGCAGGTTAAGACGAGACCACTCTGCTTCCGAGAGAGCTCGTTTGCCCCTCCCTCTTCTCTCCTTCCTAAGTCCCCAAGGCTCTGACGCCTTAATGCCCACCTTCTAATTGTGTATCATTACCCCTAGTCTGCTCATGGTATCCCTAAGGTAAACTGGCATTTGTGAAGAGCTCACTTTACATCTCAGGCTGATGCCGAGTGGCCCTTCACTATCATGAACGTTTGGGCTGCCTCCCCGGTAGATAATCTGGATGGCGATGGTCCCCAGAGGCTTGTGAATCATAGGGGGCATGGGAGAAATCTCAGAGTAATAATACGTATTATTGTTGGAATAAACGATCTCCTATTTGACAGCACTTTCTTCTATTCAGCATCTTGGGTTAGTCATCCTCCTTTTTCTAGAGGTCTGTGGAAACCAGACACATCTGCCTGCTTGAGGTGGTACAGACTTAGAGGCTGGGAAACAGATAGGTTACAGCTAAGGTTACCTGCTGGGCTAAGATTAGAAGTGGAACCTTCAGCATCTTGGCTTCTCAGCTGGCTTTAAGTGGGCATTTGCACGGCTGCTGTCTTTAGTCTTACCTGCTTCGTGGTCCCTTGGTACAGCTCAGACCTGGTGCAGATATTGGTTTGTTCTGTGCCCTGTATCCTGGGGCTCTTCCTTCCCAATTTTACACAAAGAATGTATTCATACCCATATTCACTGACTTTTGGTCCAAAGTTCTGGGTTGGTTGAGAAGATGCCAAGAGATGGAAGGAAGGGCAGGAGGTGGTCCCCTGGCAGAAGGATGAGCCTCTGAACAAACGCTCATGCTGGGGTGTCGTGTGTGGGAAACTGGGAAGCCAGGGCCACTGCCGAGCGGAGCCCATCTGCCAGTGGAGGGAGCTGGGGCAGAACCTCGCTAAGTTTTGTCGGTGCAGGAGCATGTGCTGGGGGGTGTGGCCTCATCTGCCTTTGAGCTGGGACAGTGGCCTTTTAAAGATTTCATACTGGGAGAGATTGGAGGCCCTGACTTTTCCACTTGAGAGTGAGTTACATGAGCTACTTATGTATATTTTAAAAGTGCTCTGTCTCATCAGAGCTCTGAGTCCTGTTCTCCCTGATCCTTTACAGCTAAAGTGATTCATTTGGTTATTCATCCATCTAAGCAAATAATAGTCAGTGAAGGCCCGCCGCACACACGGCCTCGTGACGGCACACTGCAAGAGATGCCAACATTTATAAAATGTGGACTTGCTTGTTCCATAGCCTCGGGTTATAGATCCAGGGAAGTTCTGAGGCAGTTTCTCCAGAAACTGTAATACTGGGTGGGAAATACAGATTCTGTGTTTAGGAACTGAGAGTTTCCTTCCAGGTGGGAGGATGAGGGAAAGCTTTATGGTGCAAAGAGCATCTGCACGCTTTACATTCGAGTAAATCTTTCCCACTGGTTTGGGGGCAGGGGGAGGGACGGATGGTTGAAATCTACGTATTACTCAGGCCCCTGATTCTGCTCCTGCTGCTGGATATTGGCTGTTGTCTTGACCTTCAGCTTCTCCAGCAGGGAGCACGCAGGCAACCAGGAAGAAGGTAAAATGCACATCAGGCCATCCTGTAATTTCCAGGTAGAGTAAATGCTCATGTATTTGGTCCAGGAGGGGGCTCGGTGCCTGGCTGCAGTGGGGATCTGGAAGGTCTGTGGTTCCAGCGATCTGTGCCGACCCTCCACACTCAGGGCCTCTTTGTGGGGGACAGTCGCGTTCGGCAATGCTGACCCATAGATCCTGCCATCTCGAGCCTTAAAACTCAAGTTCACCAATGGGGCCTCACGTGGCGCCCCGGTGCCCCGGCCGGCAGCGCAGAGGCTGCTTCCGTTCTGACACAGGATTTTCTGAGGCTTTCCTCCAATCAGGAACTCCCTCGAGAAGGCCGGCTGACCTCTGACTTTACCGCAGGATGCCCCTAGGAAGATCCAGCCGTCCACTTGCCTCGAGCAGCAAAGACCATCTCTCTCTCTGTCTCCACATGGGAGTCACTGGGGAGCTTCTGGCAAAGCACTCCTCCTGCCTGCACCCCGCGCTAATGGAATCAGAGTCACGGACTGGGGCTTCCCGGGGCCCGGAGCTGCAGATGTCTGGTGTCCGGGGATGTACAGGGCCTCCTTCTTTAGCCCTGCAGACAAGTTAGGGTGTGAGCAGGGGCGTAGCCTGGCCTCCTGGCTTTCTTACGTGCCTTTAAAGATATGCTGTGACTCTTATCTTAAAAGTCAGATTATAAAGGTGTTTCATCAAATCAGTGCTCATTCTAGAGCTAGCGGCACATTAAGAGAAGCCAGATTTCCCAAGCTTCATAGGGAAGCTCAGGGCACACGAAACAGATTTTTCAACGTAAACACAAATGCTTTTCCTTTTCTGCTCCAAATGTACTCGCCCACGGAGCCTGGTGTTTAGTGATCAGACTTGTGACCTTTGACCCTCTCCCTCCAAGACCCTTTGGCAGTTTGTCTCTCTCCCTGACCGGTCCCGGAAGCCCCTCGTGCAGGGCCCCCCGGTTCCTAAAGGCATTCTGGATTCTGCATTTTGAGCAGAGACTCCTTTCCAGAGGAGCAGTAGTGTTCAACCTTTGGAGTTTACGTTGGCTTTGTCTCATATCCGGGACACACTTTCTAACCTTTCCTAAAGAAATCATCCTTTTAGACTTAACTGGGAGGCCCAGTGTGCCCACACTTAATCAGACTGTGCAGAGGCCACTTTGGCCATCATCTCGCATTCTGTCCCATATTCGTCCCGCACAGCAGGTGCACAGCTGCCGCACAGCTGCCATCAGCGAAACCACACTCTCTAATCAAATAGAATGAGGTCCCGAGGGCCCCTCTGTCTTCCGGCACCAGAGCCCCTCCCATCGCAGCCCAGAGCCTCCGGACATTGGAAAGAGGCAGAGCCGGGCAGATAGAAGCCTCTGTGAACACCTGCCCTCGTGGTGGGCAGCAAAGAGGCAAAGGCACAGCCTGGAGGGGTATGAAGTCAGCCCAGGAGCTCTGGCAGGGCTGGCTGCCTGCTCCGAGTCGGTACCCAGGATGATGTAGCAGGGATGCAGGGACAGAAGGGATGGTGAGTCATCTCGTTATCCGGAAGGAGAGTTGTTCAGAGAGCCCTGGAGAGAAAAGACAGGGGCAGCTCCCTCTGTCTCATCAGATAGGAAGACACGTTGCAGATGGGGGCAAATGGGAGTTTAATCTGGTTTTCTTTAATGAGGAAAGCCGAGACAATGTAAAGCCCATGCGTCTTCATTCTAAATGGAAGTCTTTTCTAAGTGAATTGCCGAAGGCTCCCATAATTGCATTTTGCAAATGGCTGAATGAAGTAAGCCCACAGCTCTATTCTTACCCATCGGAGAGGGTGGCTTCCCAGCCCTTTGCTTTGCTGGAACTCAGCTAAACAGCAAACAGCTGCAGGAACAGAGCCTGGTGCAGGGACCAGCTGCTGCTCTGTACCCCTGGGACTACTTGATGGGCACATGGACGGACCTCCGCAGCCAGCTCAGAACTTTGTCCTCCTGGAAGAGGGAAGAGGCTGGCCCAGCAGAGATTGGGGCGGGGACGGGGGCACCCAGGTTCAAAAAGGAAGAAGTGAAGCTTCACCCAGCGTAAGCTTGCTGTGGCCGGATAATGGTTTAGTGCCTCTGTCTCATTTTTGGTGATCTACAATGCAAAGCATATCTTGTGTGTCCCATGGGTCAACTTGTCCGAATCCCCTCAAATGCCTGCCGACCCGGAGGTCTTCTCAGGCTGAGAGCTCGGACGGGCTGCTGCCCCGTGCTCTGGAAAGAAGGCTAGAGCCATAGAGGAGAAGCCATGGGGATTGAAACTGGGATAAGAAAGGGGACGGCCAACAGTGCACGGCCCCTTCCTCGTAGAGGGAACAGTCTTTACAAGCCATACGCGTGTCTAGAAACCTAAATCACTCGAGAGTAAGGACCGTGACCCCCAGATTTTGGCTCACTGGCTCTCACTGGTTCCCTTCAGAACATCCTGGGCGCTCCTCTCGTTGCATGTGGAGGAATTAGGGGATCTGTATTTCATCCCCAAAAGCCCCTCTGAGAGGCTGTAACAGATAGATCACACCCTTACATCATCCTTGGTATATTGGGTGGTATTCCATCACCACTAAATCAAAGACCTGACTCCACCAAGCCAGGAGGGCATGTGATGAAACACCACCCTTGCTGATCAGAGCAGATCCACCGCCAGGACGAAAGGGACTCTTCTGGAACGTAGTCCTGGCATCCATCTCTCTTTTCTGAAACTACGCGTGGCAATTTGTGTAAGAACCCAATAAATTAGAATCATACTAAGGACTGATGAAGATTCTTCCTTATACTGAAGTAACATACCTCCAAACAATGTGTGGGTACTTGTTTCTAACGGAAGTCACCAATGGAGCGTAAGGAAAACCAGTTCCATTTGTTTGAACCAATGATTTGTTTTTCCAAGAGACTGAAAGTCTTTGGACAAAGATTCCATAAAAAACCTTCATATAAACAGGATTTGGACAATTAAAAACTGTAGTAATCGGCCTTTCTGCTGAGTGGATTCATAGCTCTGAGCCTCAAGTGAAATATTGTTTAATCAAGAACGGCCAGTAGATAAAAGTGAATCATCGCATACCATGTCCATTTTCGTGTCGTAATGCAGCTTTCCGAACGCTGTCAAGTTCGTTGTTGGTTTCGGCAGTGATATTTCTGTTTTAGTGGGATGACAGTTCCTTTTACCATAGGAGAGAGAAGTCGGGCAAACTTTCCCAAGCAATGATGGTGCCCAGAATGGGAATCTATCCCATTTTAAAATAGAAACACTCCCATGCATCCCCTTCACAAGCGGGCTTCCTTTCTTGTGAAGAGTTCTTCCTCCTTACGGATCAAAGATCAGCCTGTGAATTATCCCCAGAGAAATGAGACCCCCTGAGAGGTGGCTTGACAGTGTGAACCGGTCCGCCTCAGGGCTTCAGGGCATGGGCAGGTGCGCTGGTTCAGTGTTGTTCAAATGCTGGGTTTTGACACCTTAGTACGTCGTGAAATGAATTTAGTGGTTTGTAACTGCATTTTGAAGAACAACAAAGGAACACAGAATAAAAATTTAAAAACGAGATTACTGCAGGTAAGAGGGGAAAGTGTCATTTTGTGAAACTTTGGTTTCACACACACGCCCCGTGTATGCATGTGTGTGTGTGTGTGTGTGTGTGTGTGTGTAACAACGTACAATGGTGTTTTTACAATGGGTCACTGAGAGAGAATTTGGAAAAACATTGTTCTGGTTTGCTATCACAGGGAGAGGTCGTCTTATACAATGACTCCTGTAAGTCATACATTTGAAGTTAAAATAACAGCTGCAACAACAAAAATAACAAAAGCAGTAAAGATGGATGGTGTGTAGTGGGGCCGGAGATCAGGAAGGGGGAAAATAAAAAATCCTGGGCTGGCTGCACTACCTGTGATTAAACTCCTGGAAATGTACCATCAGCCAGAGAAACAGCAGCTTCTTGGGAGCAGGTCCCACAGCCTAGGCAGGGGGAGGTCTGCACCGTGATCCAGGGGGCAGGTTCACGGCCGGAAACAGGGGTGGTGAGCACACACACACACCTGCCCACTTGCCTTGGGGCTGGTGAGAGGGTCCCTGGGCACTGGTTGCTGGTCTTGCGGGGGGAGGCAAGGGCAGTGCATTTCAGAGCTTCGCTGTAGATGTCAGACAGCCCTGGGCTGACTGCTGGCTCTGCCATTTACTAGCCTTTGGGCAAAACACTTCAAGCCTCTCTGAGCCTCAGTTTCCTGGTCTGGGAAATGAACATGAAAACATTTACTTTATCATATTGCTGTGAGGCTTGAGTGGAGAAGCCAAGAGTGGGTAGCTTAATAAATGTTAGCTCCCTCCAGATACCTCGCGTGCTGTAGCTCCCACCTGCTGCCAGGAAGCAGAACGGACCATCTGGTAGGGGAGGACCCTCTTCTGTCCCTTATTACCTCACGGAATGCTTGGTGGAAGGGGAAGGAATGGGGTGGAAGGAAATGGTCCAGAGGGGGCCCAGGGCAGTAAAGAGGTGGCTTCAGCAGCTACCCACCCCACCCCGGGAGCTGCTTCCCGTTGCGTGAGCGGCAGGGCTGTGGCAGTGACTTCCCTGTGACATTGCCTGCCCCGCCGCCCCTGACTCCGGGACTCGCGCGTCACCACCAGATCCTGGCTCTGCTGCCTCGGCACAAGGCTGAGGGTGGCCGTCATCACAGCAGAGTGTCCTGCCCTTGACGTTTGGGCCACTGACATTTCCCCTCATTGCAGTCCACCTCGGTCCTCCAAGCAGCGAGGCCATTGGAGCCCCCGGTCCCCAGCTCTCTGTGTAACCAGAGCTGTGATCTCCTGCAGGTGGAAGACATCACCACCAGCCATGAGGCTGCTCTCCTAGAGATGGAAAACAGCCACACAGTTGCCATCTCGCTCCTGCAGGATGACCACGACCACAAGGTGCAAGGTAGCTACGAGGCTTGGTGCGTGCGGTGGGCGGGTACGGTGGGCTGTGCGCACTGACCCTCTCCGGCTGCAGACACGGGGAGCCCTCCCTTTCCCTTCTTCCTTCCTTTCCTTCCTGGTGTGTCCTTTGAGTTGCTTCTTGGGTTAAGAAAAGACAGAAATCCAGGACCCGGGTAACTACAGTAAGTCCCCTACGTATGAATGAGTTCCGTTCCAAGAGCACGTTCGTAAGTCCAATTCGTTCGTAAGTCCAACAAAGTTAGCCTAGGCACTCAACTAACAAAATCAGCTATATAGTACTGTCCTGTAACAGGTTCATAATATTTCTCACACAAATAATACATTAAAAAACAAACAAACACAAAAGTAAAGAAAACATTTTTAATCTTACAGTACAGTATCTTGAAAAGTACAGTAGTACAGTACAACAGCTGGCATCCAGGGGCTGGCATTGCCCAAACAGGCAAGAAGAGTTACTGACTGGAGGGGAGAGAGGAGGTGGGAGGTGGCAGAGCTGAAGGATCGTCAGCAATAGGGGACGGAGGGCCAGCTGCAATGTCACTCACGCCTGACGTTGATGGAATGCACATTCGCATCTTTGGAAGTTCGCAGCTTGAGGGTTCTTTTGTAGGGGACTTACTGTACTTTCCTCTGAAGCCGATCCTCTCAACCCTGCCTGAATACTGGAATCCCTGGGAGCCTTGGTCCCAGAGCAGGGTTTGGTAGCTGGTCTGGGTTACAGCCTGGGCTTGTTAAAGCTCATAGGTGAATGTAACAGGTAGCCAAGCTTGAGACCCACTGTTCTACAGTAAGTGTAGAAATCCTGGGCTTTGTCTTGTTTTGTGGCCTTATAACCGTCCCGCAGGTGTGGTGTTGTCAGGGCCACGCCAGCATCTGATTGGGCCTGGCTCTCCACACCTTGCACTCAGACCACATTCACCATGGATGTAAGTGGACTCTCAGGATCTTTCTTTTTACATTTTTTACATTTTTTATAACTTTGACTTATCTTTGGATACGGAGGATTTTATGTGGGTTGTAACAATAGCGACAGCATTTAACTAAGTACTACTAAGATTTTGACTCTGTGAAAGAAGCTTTTTACACGTTAACGTGCATTTACGTTATATAGAGAATTTGTTTTTCAATTTCCCCTTTCCTCATTTTTTCCTCCCCAGTCAGCTGATGGTTAAAGTATATGAAAAACAATTAATTTAACAATAGATTAATAAATTCTAAAAATTTGAGAATATCAGAGTTTTAAAATTATTTTTAAATGTTCTTTGTAAACAACAAGGCCCACTGTGCAATTATCAATACTCATGTGATTGCCCCCTCGAGCACCAACCCCACCACCTCTGGTAACTACCCATAAGTGGAAAAGTCCAAGCTGGACGCAAGGGAGAGGAATTTCCTGAGAACTAGTTAAATGTATTACCTGTTCCTGAGAGCATGTCTCATGCTTAGAGTACCAGTTCCCACCCTTGGATGCACATTGGAACCACCTGGAGAGTTTTTAAAAAAATACTGCTGTGTAGCTCCCATTACAGAGGTTCCGATTTAATCGCTCTGGGGTGCAGCCCAGGCATCAGGATTTTTTAAAACTCCCCAGGTGATTCTAATATGTAGCAAAATTGGAGAATCACTCTCTTAGAGCACAGTCTTAAGCATGGGACAGAGTGTCAGGACCTTAAAATAATGAAATACATTATGAGTACATAGATAGTCGCCATGGTTTATGCCACCTAATAGATACTGATTTTTCTTTGCTTGTGAGGTATAGGGTATCTGAAAATGCCCTAAAGCCCATCACTGCACTGTAGGAAAATGGTCTCAGGAAAGGGAACAGGAATGGAAATGTTACAATGAGTGTTGCCTTTTGTTTCGGGATTTTCGTATAAATAGACTTGGTAGATTTTTCTGACTAATGAAGTCTCGCTTAGAAGCCACATCCAGGGCCTTTGAATTACATATAATGTGAAGACAGTGTAGGCGTATGTAATGGTAGCTAAAAACTTCATTATTATGGATGGTGCTCTCAATGACTATTAAAAGTAATCATTTAGACAAAGGCAGGTAGACCAGAAACCCACATGGTTTTATGTCAATAAAATAAGCACAAACTTTTTTCTTTTTTCCCAAATGTAAATTTCAGCTATAACAACTGGATTTCTAAGAGACCTTAACCATCATTAGTTAAAAGATTTGGGTCAATGGAAACCACAAAGTTTTTCTTAATTGCAGCTTATGCCAGCCAGAATGATAATTATTGGTCTCCAGTACTCTCCTGTGCTAAGCATATGATCCAGGTTCATTAATGAGACCTTTCCTCTCTCCAGTTATAACATGAAAACAAACTGCTTGTGTAGCTAGAATGAGACGGGCTTCACCCAGCTAATAAGACTATTCCCATCTGGAGGAAAATACAATCCATTTGCTTAGTAACTCTTACATGACATCTCTTTCTGCCTATCTTGCAAATTATCACTGGAATGACACTTTTCACGGAATAGAATTGCTCCAAACTCCCCAAGAGGAACCAGTCCAATGAGTCCTTCCTTTTGTCTGAGTGGCTTAACATCGACTCTTTGCTCAAGCAAATCCTAGCATCTGTGATTTCCAGAGTGTGGCCCAGAGGCCACCAAGGTGACTTTGCAGGCACAGCACTGGTCCCGTTCACCTGTCCATTCTCCAGCAAGCCCATGCTCCACTCTCCTTGGAAAGGTCCCTGCTTCAGCCCGAGATTGCGGCTTTGTGGTAGAAAAGAAGAGTGATCCTGGGAGGGAAGAAAAGGGAGATTTAACATTAATTACCTAGTGGTTTTACCATTAGGAATAGTTGGAGAATCAATGAGTGCTGTGAATGGAGAATCTGACTTGGCCAGGTTGTTGGTAGAGCTGGGTATAGAAGTGACTGTGTGTGTGTGTGTGTGTGTGTGTGTGTGTGTGTGTGTGTGTGTGCGCGCTCTTGTGCTCTGTTTGCTTCCCTCCCTCCTTTCTTTCCTCTTAACCCTCGCCCTTTCTCCTATTTCCTTCCTCATCCTTTCTCCCTCTCTCCTAAATAACATTGCATACAATTTCAAACTAATGGAGAGGTCTCTTTAGGCTTAAGTCCGCTATATACTGGTGTCCCTTACTCACCTACGTCACTAGTTTTAGCCTGGCAAAAGAATCTTGTTTGATCCCTTTTCAGAAGAAAGATCAACTTAACAATTTGATGTCTTCTCTCCAGAACTGATATCTACCCACGAGCTTGAAAAGAAAGAATTGGAAGAAAATTTTGAAAAGCTGCGGCTGTCATTACAGGTTAGTGTTTCCTTAACTCCAACATCAAGATAATGGCAGCATTGTTATTCCTGTCCACAGACATTTATCCAGCACCTACCATGTACTGGATCCTGTACTAAGCATTGGAATAAGGGGGTAAATAAGACCTACTCCCTGCCCTTAAGGACTTTACTGTCTACTGAGAGCTGTGATACAAATAGTGACAGACCAGCACAGAGGGTAGCACATACTTGCACAGAATGAATAATACCGTTAGCGCCACAGGGGTTCCGAGAGACGGCTGGCTCCCCATGTGCTTGCGGTCAGAGTCATGTTTGGGGAAAGGGGAGGATTAGGGAGCAGAGCATTCTAGGCGGGGGTAACGGGATAAGGAGACTCATGTAGGGCAGAAATCACAGGACATGTTCTGGGAATTGTAAAAGCAACTTCAATCCCCTGGAGATGTAACGAAGCTTCTTGGCGGCCCGCTTGAAACCTACACAGAGCGTGGGTCTCAGATGCCAGGGGCGCTGCCTGGCTTCCTTCTGATCTCGAAGGGGAGAATGGAGGTCTCTGCCTTCCAGAGACCCCAATCAGCTGCTTCTGTGAAAAGATGTTGACCGCCCCCAGCCCTAGAGAGGGGCTGCCTGGGAAGCCAGGGGGAGGCTGGTGGCCCTGTTTCCATTGCCAGCTGTGGACGTCCCAGTCATAGAAAGATTACCTTTTAAATATTAGGGACATTCACACCTGGAAATTTGGGAGGTGATTGCCATAATTCTAATATAAAGGCAGGAGTTTTGTTTCTTCAGTGGCTCACTTTCCCCAGGCAGTGTTTCTTGCACAGAGCCTGCCCTGCCGAGAAAAGAATCTAGGATTATGGAGTGTCACACTATTGAGTGTACTATTCAAAAAATTTTTAATGGGAGACCACCTGCTGCAAACCCACCCCCGATCCATCGATCCATGGATCCATCGGTGGGCCTGCACATGCCCACGTGCTCCTTGTGTGGCTTATCCTTGGCAAATTAACCCCAAACTTCTTTGTGTACCCCACATCCCACACCACCCAGATATATTACCCTTAAGGAACACAAACCAGGAAGGTAACAGCCATACTGTGATGTATCAGAAAACCCCAAACGGTCCAAAACCAATAGAAGGGAGAGTTCTGTTTCATCCATGAGTCTTCACTTTGCCACTAACATCACACAGTCATGAACTGTGCACACTTTAGTGGTAACTCATGGGCAGAATCCATTTGAGCTGGAGATTTTCTGGTGTGAGGTGGGTACAGTTGCTTAGGCCAGTCTCCTTGGGCTACTGGCAGCTAGAGAAACAAGTTTGGGGTAAAAGATTTGAGTTTGAGGTTTAAATCCCCACTGTACCTTCTCTTAATAGCTTTGAAATCTTGGACAGCTACATAGCTGTAAACCTTAGTTTACCCATCTGTAAAATGGGGATAATACCAGTTCCTTCCTCAAAGTGTGAGCAGCTTAAGGGAAATAATATGTGTGTCAATGAAAACATTAATCAGTAGTCAATCCAAGAAAGAAATGGAGAATTTTATTTGAGCTAACCTGAGGATTAGAACCCAGGAGACAGTCTTTATGTGGTATACAATGGAATACTACTCAGCCGTACAAAAGAACGAAATTTTGCCATTTGCAGCAACATGGATAGACTTGGGGGCATTCTGCTAAGTGAAATACATCAAACAGAGAAAGACAAATACTGTATGATGTCACTTATATGTGGAATATAAAAAACACAACAAATTAGTGAACGTAACATAAAAGAAGCAGACTCACAGATACAGAGAACAAACCAGTGGTTACCAGTGGGGGGGAGGGCACATAGGGATGGGGGAGGGGAGGTACAAATTGCTGGGTGTAAATAGGCTCAAGGATGTGTTGTACAACACGGGGAATATTTTGTAATTGCAGTATTTTGTAATAACTGTAAATAGAAAGTAACCTTTAAAAATTGTATTATGTTTTTTTTCAAGATTAAAAGACAAAGCGCTAAGGACTGTCCCTTAGAGGTCAATGCCCAGTTATATAAATTTTTGAGACAAAGGGTCTTACATCAAAGTAACATATTGACAGTGTACGTAGTCCAGCAGGGCAAGTAGTGGGTCATCGTGACCCCTTACAGGATTGAGAAAGGAATGTTATCTCCTAAGGAGTTACCTTGCTGGCGCCAGGAGAAAATTGCTTTTTTTTTTTTTTTTCCAGTGAGCAGGTGTTCCTGTGTCTTCTAAGGGGATCTAGTTACTGTATAATGCAGATGCACCGTCCACACTAAAGAGGGGTAGTGGCCCAGATGGGCAGAGAGAGAATTTTATGTTTAAAAATTTCCTGGTCCTGCCTTAAAAATAAATTGATTTCATCATGTGTAAAGGGCATAGAGCACTAGGCAGCAGCTAGTGCTATTATAATAGTTTCAGGCGTTGTTACATTTGCCATCATCATCATTATTATGGGGCTGTTGGTTAACTCCAAGTGGTCCATGCTGGCCCAGGTCACCAGCTGGGTCTTGGTGCTCTTACCTTGGCATAAAGTAGCCAATCCAAGTTGGAGAACAGCATGTCCTGTCTGATTGCTGGGGCACCATTGTGTGCCTGAGGATCTATTTTGAATAATGGTGAAGAAAGCAGAAAAACCACAGTGTGATAGTTTAGATGCCACCTAGATGGTACTTGCCTGAGTTTTTCACTGTTTTACTTTTAAATGGAGGACAAGAGGCTTGACAGGAATGATTGCTTTGACGAGGCTTGTATAGGAGGTGGGGTAGCACTCCAGTCATTTTATTTTTTGCAATAAAATAATAGCTAATGTTTATTGAGCACTTACTGTATGCCAGGTACTGTTCTAAATATTAACCACCATCCTCTGGGTCACATATTATTATTATCGTACCCATTTTACAGATGGGGAAACCTGGACACAGTGGTTAAACTACGTAGCGCTCCAGTCATTTCATAGTCACGTTTTACGCATGCGTGCTGGGGCCCAGCCGGCTGTCCTGAGCCCTGATTTACACTTGATGGCTCATGTGCCTTCCAGCTCCCACTGACACTGTCTTGCCCTCATGCAGCAGCATGTGCATTTAATGGCACTGTGGGAGGCTTTTATTTCTTAAAAATGAAATGTAAGTAACTGGAAACAAAAAAGGAGAGAAGGAAAAGGAACCCGCCAAGGATGGTTTGCAAAACTGGGTTCTCTGTGATGACAAGAAAGCGGTTGAGCCAGCATGTGCTATGTGGCAGTGCTCTGGTGTGCAGTTCCGTCGTTGACTGCACCCAGCTGCTCACATGTGGTGAGCGGGGCCATCTCTCTTGCCAGAAGTGTTCATGGGAAGAACTCAGTCCCTGGGTTTTAATGTTACAGAAATGGTGATGGGGGTGGAGAACTTTGGAACACGTGGCACCAGCAAGGCACCGTCTCTTCCCTCTGCTTGGGCGTCAAGGCTCTGCCCGGCTCCCTCTGCTGCCCGCCGCCATTGGTCAGGGCCGGGGCTGCGGGGAGAGGGCTCAGCGTGGTGGCATCTGTGCTGGCAGCAGGGCTGGGGCCCCAGGCCTCCCCACACACGCCTCCATTCTCTCCACCTTCACAAACAGAGCGGCCCCGTGGCGGGCACGTGCTGGGATGGGGGCCAGGAGGGCCCTCCGGGTCGGGGGGG